ACTCATAGAGGCACTAGCAATACACAGACAATGTGATGAGTCTGGGCCCCGATTACCTGATAGAAATCCTACGGTCCTTTCATTACTCTACCCTCAACTGTCGACAAGGTAAAGCAAAAGCAAAAAAGAGGAGCTGTGCATGTATATTTCTATTGCAGTTTTCTTTCTTTGCAGTGGAATTTTTACCGGGCAATTGAAGTTTTGAAACTGTTGATTGTTACAGTAACAACAGATACTTGAAAGTGATACTTAGTTGGGTTTAAGAAACAAAAGTAAATAGAGCAGAGAGAACAGAGTCATGAATGCTGTCATGTAAAGAATAACACTAATAAATTAAGGGGGGAAAGGGGGGTGCTTTTGCCCCAAATGTTTACCTAGCACTCACCTTTGTCCTGAAATATCCCACCTCCACACCCAGCTCCTGGTTAATAAACATAATTTTGTTGATGTCCCCTGAACTGTATAATCTGCTCCACAAAAAACAAACCCACGGTTTGTCTCCAAGCCACTTTTAAGTCCCTAACTCCCTGGTTACATTCAGTCTATGGAAAACATCTGTGGCAAAGTAAATCATCCTACTCTGAGAAAGACCAGAGTGTATTTTTTTTTTTCTCTGAGTGTGTTTTGAAGTCCTGGTTGGAAAATTAGTGAAAATTGTAAATCTGTTTGCAAATCTGGTCATGTCTAACTCTGAGATTAGGGCAAAGATTCCAATTTAAAAGTAAAACCGTGACAACCCTAGTTAAGCGTGTCCTCAGGCACTGCCAGCAAGGCCTTCACTCACTTCCACAGGCAGTGGATTTATTACAGCACCCGACACGTTCCCCATCAGACACCCCTGGAGTATTTACTTGAGACAGCAGGGTTCAGTCGGCACTTCCTCTGCAGACCAATATATTATTATAAATTGAGCTAAACTGTTTCCTTTTCATAAGTGCTATGAAGTTCAGATTTCAGATATCAACACCAGGCCGAAGTCCCTCCCTCTACGGGTCTCCTTATGCTATTTGGATTTTAAAGTAAAGAGAAAAGGCAGCATTAGACTATGGTTGCTTTTACTTTTTGAATTTTTTAAAAAAGAGATGAAGGAAGATTCATTTCAGAAATCAAATATGACATCCTAATAAAATATATATTCTAAATGCAGACTTTGGGATACACTGTGCTGTGTTTGGCACAGTTCGGTCGGATACCAACTATATCACCTCCATCTAAAAATAAGACATGGGAAATCAAGAGAAGATTTTACATTATGTCTTGGATATCAGCTCCTATAAAATAACACTAACTTCTGCTTATCATGTACAATGGCTCAAAGGGATCCAATGTATATTCATTATAACATAAAAATCAAATGAATAATGTCATTATTTAATATTTTGATTATAATCCCATTTTTTTTTTTTTTTTTTGAGATGGAGTTTCATGCTCGTTACTCAGGTTGGAGTGCAATGGCACGATCTTGGCTCACTATAACCTCCACCTTCTGGGTTCAAACAATTCTCCTGCCTTAGCCTCCTGAGTAGCTGGGTACAGGGTCCCCACCACACCTGGCTATTTTTTGAATTTATAGTAGCAACAGGGTTCCACCACATTGGCCAGGCTACTCTTGAACTCCTGACCTCAGGTGATTCAGCCACCTTGGCCTCACAAAGTGCTGGGATTTCAGGCGTGAGCCACTGCACCCAGCCTATAGAGCAGTTCGTAAACCCTGAGAAACCCATAACTTTAAGAAAAACGGAGAGAGAGAGAGAGAGAGAGAGAGAGAGAGAGAGAGAGAGAGAGAGAGAGAGAATATGTGTATTTTATATGAACAATGTCATCTTTCCTGTACAACCAAAACAAACAAACAAACAAACAAACAGAACATTGTTATCTTCTTTTCTTCCCTTCCTGAACAATTTAGTCCTAAAGCCATTCAGTGAGGCAGAGGCATCATGCCAGGGAAAGAAGGCGGCACAGGAGCCCTGAGCAGGGGTCAATGCCGAGTAGGGTGAGGAGGGCATCCCCGTGGGAGAAGGAAGAGTGGCCCCACATGGGGCATCAGATCCCGAGTGGGATAAGATGACGAGATACTATCCATGCTTAATATTAGCTGTGTAGCCATGATTAAGCAACTACATAAATTTAACCTCAATTTCTTCTTTTGCAATATAGCTAATATTTACTTCTCTGGGTTGTTGAGAAGATTAAAATAATATTTGTCATTAATTCCCAGTAAATCTGGTTTTTATTCATATTACTACAATTCCAGACATACATATGTATAGAAAATGACAGAAAAGAAATATATTAAATCAGGCATGAATCTGATTTTTATATTCTTTTTTCCTTTCACACTTCCCAGAGTTTATCTCAAATAAGCATATATTGCTTTTTTAGTCAGAAAGAACACATAGATATTGTTAAATATATGTAATATTAGCTGAATTTTTAAAGTACATATTTACTAATTTTATTTTTACTTTTTTTTGAGACTGAATCTTGCCCTGTTGCCCAGGCCAGAGTGCAGTGGCATAATTTCAGCTCACTGCAACCTCCACCTCCTGGGTTCAAGCAATTCTCGTGCCTCAGCCTCCCGAGTAGCTGGGATTACAGGCGTGTGCCACCACACCCAGCTAATTTTTGTATTTTTAGTGCAGACACAGTTTCACCATGTTAGCCAAGCTGGTCTTGAACTCCTGACCTCAGGTGATTCACCTGCCTCAGCCTTCCAAAGTGTTGGGATTATAGGTGTGAGCCACAGTGCCTGGCCACTTTTATATTTTTAAAAATTACAAAGCTATTTTAAAAGATACCATTCTGGCTCTTATTTCTTTCAAAGATATACATTGCTAACAGAAACTTCTGAACAAAGTATCCAAAGGAAAGTGATTTGTTAGCTAATATTAACACCTATTAGGACCCAGGCCAAATGTCCATATTTGGGTGGTACAAAAAAAACATGAAATAAAGTTTACCTATAAATGACACTCAGTGAGGGGGTAGGGACTTCAGAAAATAAACTTAGTTTCTGAGGTCAGGCAGGAGAGATAGTGGGGAAAAGAGAACCTTAACACTAAAAACATTCCCACAAAGAGATTTCAGTGTATATCAGTGTACTGGGATCAGGTTGAAATAGCCCAATTTAGTATAGAAAAAGCACTGCATAAGATGCCTGCCACCCATTCTGGTCCCTGTTCTACCTCATAACTAAGTGACCTTAGGAAGGTCACTTAAAAACAGAACATTCTCTGCCATGTCCCTCACAAAGCCGACAGGAAGTTGAGGCTGCTTATGTGACACTGATGTGTAAACTGCAATGCAATATTCAAATGGAAGGCAAGAGATTAAGGGCATACTTAGACAGGTGTTCAGCAAATGCAGAAATCTCCCCAAGAGAAGAATTTAAGAGGTAAAGGGACATTGCATTAAATGCCATTGAGCCAACACGATTTGAAAGAGTCCCTACACAATGATCCTCCAATCCTCCTACAGACATTAAGGAGAAAGTCTCAGACTGGTACCATGATACAGTTAACACCTCTCTAACCGTTACTAATCTCCCTTTTTAACAAACACAAAATAGGACTCAGACTCAGATCTCCAGCAAACGAAAGTAGCAGGCACTTAGTACTGTTCTGGTTTCTCTATATTTACATTTCTAAAATCCTTCTAATTATGCCTGGTGATACTAGATTTCCATTTATGACAGTAATGTAAAATCTCCTTTTAAAATAAATTTGATTTGGTGAAAGATTAAAAAGTTACTTTATTTAGGCAGAAGTCCATGGATATGACCAAAATCTTGAAGCTGATGAGCTGAAATTTGGAAAATGCTTAATGGTAGAATGGCCTAAAGAGCTATTCCATATTCTGAATTCCAAAAAGGCAAGAACCAAGATACATTCACCTCCAATATCTCCCCTGGAACTTTACACAGTACCTGGAGCACAGTAGACTCAAAAATACTCAATTAACTGAGAATCAACTCTTATCATAATCACTGGGCTTCAGCCCTGGTTCTTCCTAGCTCCAACCAACACATGAGTAGATTTCTCCAGGTAGAGAGGAGTCAGATAAACCACAAATAATCAGGAACTAGAGCCAAATAGAGAATAAACTCTAGGAAGCTTTGTGAGTAAAAAAGAATACTGTTTGCACATGGCACATTGGAAAACAAGTAGAAAGTCCAAAAATAAAATTAAAAACTTACAGCAAAGAAGAAAAAAACAAACCCCACTGCTTCAGTTAGCCTAACCACAGCTGAGATATTGCCTCCCGAAGAGCTAAATGACAAATTGAGAGAAAGACCCCATTGTCAGGTCAGCTGTTCCTGAGAAGAAACAACACTCAAAACCAGAAAAAACTCTCTCACTACTAAAAACTAATATAGACAGGGAAGGATTTTTAAAAGTTTTACTGACAAGTAAAACTTGACTTGGATGATATAATAGCTCTGATAAGAATCCAGAAAAATGATTAGCATATTTGAGAAACTTCACAGCTACTTAGAATTCAAAAAAAAAAACTTAAAAAAATTTAGGGCCAGGCATGGTGACTCATGCCTCTGATCCCAGCACTTTGGGAGGGTGAGGCAGGTGGATCACCTGAGGTCGGGAGTTCAAGACCAGCCTGGCCAATGTGGTGAAACCCCATCTCTACCAAAACTACAAAAATTAGCTGAGTGTGGTGGTGTGTGCCTGTCATCCCAGCTACTTAAGAGGCTGAGGAAGGAGAATCGCTTGAACCTGGGGGGTGGAGATTGCAGTGAGCAGACATTGAGCTGCCACCCTCAAGCCTGGGCAACAAGAATAAAGCTCTGTCTCAAAAAAAAAAAAAAGAAATTTTTAGCAATAACTCAGAAAAGAAAACCTAGTTACATATTCTTATAAAGAAGTTTCATTATTAATATAAAACACTCCAAATGTTTATTTGATAAGACATATTCAAAATATATATCCAATATTCTAAATTTAGACACTAGAGTTGCAATATAATTTTGATTTTCCAAAGCTTACCCAGCATGAAATAGCAGTCTCCTTGGTGAAGGGGTATCGCCAAACCAGGGGTCTCTATGTCCCATGAGATCTTAAAACCAACATGCCAAGTATCAGGATCTCTGCCTTCGAGATTAGAGTCATCCTCACTTTCCACTTCTGGGCCTGCCAAAAGAGAAGAAAATGATCAGAAAGGAAATGTTTAAGCTTCTGGATTTTATAATGGTCATTTTAGAAAGGACTGACATTTTAATAAAATATGAATATTAAGTGAAATATATCTTTCCTTTATATCATATTTTTACAAGATATTCTAGGATAGTTTTAACATGTCATTAATTTTTTTCTTCAGGAAACCTTAAATAGGCCAGGTGTGAAGGCTCATGCCTATAATCCCAGCACTTCAGGAGACCAAGGAGGTAGGATCGCTTAAAGCCAGGTGTTCAAGACCAGTCTGGGCAAGAAATCAAGAAACCCGTCTCCACAGAAAAAAAAAAAAAAAATTACCTTTTAAAAACAAAAAACATATGTAAAGATAAAATATGTCCTTAGGAAATAAGATTGAACATCACAGAACTGTCAGTTCTCCCTAAATTCATCTACAAATTTGACATAATCTAAATAAAAAGATCAAAGGGATAGTTTTTCTAGGTGAGTGGGGTTAATAACTAGAAAAGTTGTTTCTATAATACACATGGAAATATAAACAAGCAAAAATAGCCAAGGAATGTTCTTCTAAATATGTAAAGAGCAACTATACATCAATAAGATAAAGGACAATAGACAAATTAAAGACTGAGCATGTTATAAAGACATAATATATAAAAGGAAATTAGAAAAATATGTTCCAATTTATTCACATAAAAATGCATATTAAAGCCAAAAGAGATAAGCTTTTTCACCTATCAAGTCAGAAAAAATCAGTTTCTAATTTTTTCTGATTTGATAGGTAAAAAAGCTTACAGAGACAATAGAGTGTAAGAGTACACAAAATGGCACACCGACACTCTCTGTAGAGGACAATTTGGCAATACTATCAAAATTACAAAGGCCATAAGCTCTTTGACTTTTATAGAAATTACACTTTTAGAAACGTATACTAAAAGTCCTACATTCAGGGGTTGTAAAATGACTGTTGAACAAGTATATTTATTGTAATATTGCTTATAAGGGCAAAAGATCAGAAATAACTCAAACGTTCATCAGTAGGTTTCTGGTTAAATAAATCAAAATCTCTTCAGACAATAAAATACTATGCAATAGCCAAAATAATATGACTATATATAGATATGGACATATCTAATATATTTTCAGGGAAAAAAAATAAATATACTATATTCATATAAAAAATAAAGTACAGGCTAGGTGCAGTGGCTCACACCTGTAATCCCAGCACTTTGGGAGGCCAAGGCAGGAGCATTGCTTGAGCTCAGGAGTTCGGGACCAGCCTGGACAACATGGTGGAACTCCATCTCTACAAAAAATACAAAAAAATTAGTCTGGCATAGTGGCATGCACCTTTGGCTCCCATGAGTTGTGATTACACCACTGCACTCCATCCTGGATGACAGAGTGAGGCTCTGTCTCAAAATAAATATAAGCAAATAAATAAATACATTTCAAGCACGTATAATATTTCTGGAAGGATACTCAAGCTGATTTTTCTGGAAGGATAATATAATATTGATAATACTTCTGGAAGGATACACAAGACTGGAATATAACATTTCTGGAAGGTGAATACTCAAGACTGATTTCTCTGGGGTATAAGACTGGGAGACACACCAAAAAAAGAAGGTATACATTATGTTTTGCCTATAATCTCAGCCCTGCAGGAACAACCCTACCTACATAAAAACTTTTCAAAGTTAATTTAAAAAGTATTTATTGAGCACTTGCTATTTACTGGGCATTGCGCCAGGCACGGGGGATATGTCACTGACTGAAACAAAGAGCTATGTCCCACCGGAGCTTTTCCTTTCAGTGGAACTGTAAATGTGCATCACTGATTACCATGAAGGGGACATTTTACATCTGAATTCCATCAAACTTTAAACTCTTGTAGTAGACTCTGATCTTCCAGGGCAGAGTCTGTTTTGCTATTTCATCCACAATTATAGCCCTCGTAACTGGCACAGGGAAGGCATTCAATGAACACCATGGCTTGCTGAAACAAAATGTTCTTTTAGTTCACACTATCCACAGTACTTGTGCTAGATGGCAGGGAAAGAAAATGTTAATTTGGAAGAAAAAAAAACAAAAATACCTCAAATTTAAAACCAAAGGACATAAGAAAGCATGGCATTACTGCTAAACGAGTACAGTCCTCAGTACTGAAGAAGTTTAGAGAAGAGAGAGGGTGAGCGAGAGAACTAGAGCAGAACTCTTAGAGAAGGTCAAACCTGAAAGACTGGCAGAGGGTAGAATAAGAAGTAATGAGAGAAGACAAAACAGCAATGCATGTTTTTCTTGGGCTGTTTCATGTACATATCACATAAACAGTTTAAAAAATGCATGCATCGCAGATGGCACACACAGAATCCCTAAATTCTGAACATCATACTCTACAGCCAACTGTGCAGAAGGATGAAAGGCAGTAAAAGGAAGTAAAAAAAGGAACTCCCCTTTATAACTATTCATTCACATTAATTTGCACTAGGCATGGTGAAAATGAACAAATCAGAAAGCCAATTTAATGGTCTCTGCAAGGAAGGAATGCTGCTAAGTAACTTTTAAGGACACATCTTACTTTAGATATTCTTCAGACCCCCAAGTTTGGTCTAAAATCTAATACTACCATATTAACAGAATCTTACCTTTTTTTCCTTACCTGCCATTTAATACATGTTTTCTCAAGTACTTTTCAATTAAGAGCATCTTTTAATTGGGTTTTTTAAAAAATAACATTAAAAATCCAAAGCCATTTCCTAGGTTAATCCCAAAAACACTTTTTTAGCAACCCTCTAGAAGGGGGATATAAATACCTTAATATCAGGGGACATGACTGATTGGGTGATTGCAGCTTTTTAGAGCCCCAGTGGAGAAGAAATCTGAAACTTTCTCCAAGTTCAGCAGGAAAGAGTGTCATGATCAATTACTGATGTCTGTCATGGGCACTACAAGGGTTAGTCAGCGGCAGCACTAGCGCTAGGTAGTTGCTATCCACGTCTGATGACATTCTACAGGCACTTATTTATACATAATACATCGCTGCACTTAAAATGACAGAATTTGCTAAACTAGAGCTCATGGACCAGAAAAGAACTCGCAAAGGTGTGTAGCTTGACCTGCACCACATTTCCTTGACAAATCTAAATGAGTTGTCAACTGATAAAAGTTGCCTAAAAATCCAAATTCTCAGCTACCCTTGAATCACAAGGTCTGTTATCACTGAGCCAGTCACAAGTGGCTATAGGAAAGAAGTAGCTGCTCATTTTAGACAAGGGATGTGATCTCTGCCAGTCAGTCCTCACAGCCATTTCACTTTACTCATTTGAGGTACCTGCCTAGTCCCCATAGCAAAGTCTGCGACTCTTGATCTAGGGCTGGGTTGCAGTGATCACAGGCAAATCAGTTCTATTACTTGCATTTGTAAAATAAAGTTTAACTAGAACACAGTAATGCCAATTCATTTACATAAATAGCTGCTTTCGAACAGACAGCAAGGTTGAGTAGATAAGACACATACTATAAGACCCACAAAGCCAAAAATACTTATTTCTGGCCCTTCAGAAAAAAAACATTTGCCAATTCCTATTCGAAAGTCTTCATATTTGTGATTTGATGTCTGCTGCACATTTTAGTAAAGAAGTTGAGGTTGTATAAACTAATTATGATGTAATGTGACTAACACCTAATAATGTAACATGAGTAATGATAGCATACAACATAATAAAATAATTAATGCTAAATTAATTGATATCCAGATCACTTTAGCAAAAGAATACTGATAAATTCAAATATCAAAAATTATGCTGGCCGAGTGCAGTGACTCAGGCCTGTAATCCCAGCACTTTGGGAGGCCAAGGCAGATGGATCATGAGGTTAGGAGTTTGAGACCAGCCTGGCCAAGATGGTGAAACTCTGTCTCTACTAAAAAACACAAAAATGAGCCTGGCACAATGGTGGGCACCTGTAATCCCAGCTACTTGGGAAGCTAAGGAAGGAGAAACACTGGAACCCAGAGATAGAGATTGCAATGAGCAGAGATCACACCACTGCACTCTAGCCTGGAAAAAAAAAATTATTGTTATATTTGTATAACCCAAGACTTCAGGCTGCTTCATTCCAGGGAGCCCTAATGATGACAGATATAGCAAGCAGCACAAGAAAAAAAAAAGGAAATATTTTAGGAAGGGTTTTTCACACGTCCCCATCTGGTCAAATCAACCATAACTTCTACCATTGAGGTCCACACAAAATTAAAAAGAAATGAAAAGGAAAACAACTGTAATGACTTTTAAAAAGAAATAATTTTTAAACTACAATCAACAGCTTTTGGGAAGTTTTAATGCCACCGCGTGTGTATATTCTAACAAGTGGGAATCTTTACAGGCTAACAGTCTCCTTGACTACTTTCCCTTCCAACTTTCATCCTGGTACGCTTCTCAATCTAGCCTCAATAAAGACAATCAGAGACAATAATTGCAGTCAGTGTTTCCTGATGCCTCCCAAAAATCCAGCACCTTTGAAATCTGCTCATTAAAATGATATTTTGGTGAGAGTTTTTCCCCTCCTTGGGCTGTGTAGGGAGGAGGAAAGTTGTACATCTGATAAATTTTTTATTGGGAAATATAGTGTTCTTACTTCTCAATGAAATCAACTTGTAATTACCTATAGCAACTGTAACTGATTACTCTTGCCCCATGTTATTTTGGCAACAAGGAGAGGCAACAGGTTCTTACTTGCCTTTAAGCCTCAATAAAATTTAAAAGATTTTAAGTACCTCAGGGTTTGGTGCACTCCCAGCTTCCACTAACCAAACTGTTAAATAAGATGTGACAAAATACAAAAGACTGTTAAGTTTAAAAGTCGAATTTCAACTGTCCAAAACTTCCCCCCAAAATTAACCAATTCAATGTTTTATACCAGCTAGTTTTTGAGAAAAAATTAATTCTATTTAATAAAGGACAAAATATTTTGTTCACATTTTTAATTACAACCACTGCTCTATAGGAAGCAAAGACTTAGAAGCCAGAGTATGACAGTGGAGACTATGGAGACAATCAAAACATATCACAAAAAATTCTGTACCATATTTAATAACATACATAATACTGTATTGCAAGAACTTCCCTCATAGGGTAAGTATATATTCATCATCACCACACACTTTAAAATAGCTGTCCCTCCCTCGCTTCCATCCTTCCTTCCTGCCACAGTCTTGGTCTGTCACCCAGGCTTGAGTGCAATGGCACAATCTCAACTCAGCCTCCTCAGTAGCAATGATTACAAGTGTGCGCCACCACAACCGGCTAATTTTTTGTTAAAAATAGCCTTATTTCTTATTCTCTGTTCCCTATTTCCTTAGCCAAGAGCTAGGATATAAAAGATTCTTGGCTGGGCTCAGTGGCTCACACTTGTAATCCCAGCACTTCGGGAGGCAAGGCAGACAGATCACCTGAGGTTAGGAGTTCAAGACCAGCCTAGCCAACATGGTAAAACCCCGTCTCTACTAAAAATACAAAAATTAGCCAGGTGTGGTGGCACATGCCTGTAATCCCAGCTACTCAGGAGGTTAAGGCAGGAGAATCAATTGAACCCGGGAGGCAGAGGTAGTGAGCCAAGATCATGCCACTGTGCTCCAACCTAGGCGACAAAGCAAGACTTCACCTCAAAAAAAAAAAAAACAAAAAGGTTCCCACCCTAATGATTACTTCCTCTGTTTCCTTTACTCCACACCTAAAGGAGCTTTAAGAAGGAGGTCCTTTCCTATCCATGTGACAGATCTTCCGCAGGAGAAACTCACAAGTTGTCAGTCAGCTGGGATGATGGAGTCTAATGATGCCTTACCTGTCCAGTGCTGATCTTCGACATTCCCATTTCTGGGATGGGAAATCCATTTTGTAGAATGAAGGGAGCCAGAAGGTGAAAGGGAAGGTGTAACATAGGGAACACACATTCTAGGAGGGAAATGGCATGGTGTGTGTATAAGAACACAATCACTTCTGGGTTTCAAGAGTGTCACGTGAATGACAATAGACTTGGAAGAGAAGAGCCTGGAGAGGTGGGCAGAGACCAGGACGTGGGTTTATGAATCATAGGAAAGAATCCAGAACTTATACTGGGGTCACTGAAGGACACTAAAGCCTTTTTCACAGGTCAGATCTGTTTTCAGAATGATCTCTCTGGAAGGTACAAGCTTCTTTATGCATAATTACTATGCTTTTTCTAGACAGGTTCCCAAGGTAGTAACAAATAGATTCTGTATAAGCCAGAGAGCATTTAGGAAACACAGCTAATGGACAACATCCC